ATGAAACGCTCATCCTCTATTGCATTATCAGTCACCATACGAACTTACTAAGAACTTAATATAATTTCAATGAGTTAGTTTATTTGTTATAAACCGAAAATCACTTATTCCATTCATATAGAGTAATGAAAATCACTATATTCATAGATGGTAGTTGTATTATCTGTCCATCTATCTATGCATAATAATCTTCTTTTTTTTCCAAGAAACCTTCTTGTAGAATTCCATTTCAAACAATTACTAAATTGTTTATTGTATATAATTATCTTTTCTACAGTTTTACATTGTTATCAATATACACATTACTATGAATATGAAGTAACTTATTATTACAATGATTATATTTTAACAAAACTATTCATATCTATTTTGATTTATTAATTTTTCATATTTTTTGTCTATTTGTAAACCAAATACCATTTAGTTATTTGTTTGGTATCTTTCTGATTACTGCTTATACTACTCTTACTACTTCTACTACTATGGGATTTGAATTAACAACTGCATCTTTATGCTAATGTGGTATAGCAACTCGAATTGATGTACTTACGTACATACGAAGTTCTATGTGGTGACTGACTGACTGGTTATTTGTTTGTTTTTAAAAAAATAAAAAAGGCAAAGGTATTTACTTATTCTGTCGGTAATATTTTCTCTCTTTCTTTTATTGTTTTTGTTTTAAACAAGAAGAAAAATTTCACACACAGTTAATGATCTTTTACTATTGAATATTGAATTCTTTTCACCTATGTTAAAACAATTGTAAACATGGATCTTTAGTCCCTAGGTATATATGTATAGTTTATGATTTATTATTCAAACTATCTATTAAATGAGTTACGAATAATATAATATTTATAGTCATATGAAATAGTGGATAAGTTCAATGAGAATATTTCATAAATGTTTCAGATAATAAATAAAAAGAATTGGATTGGTTGAAGTTAGACATTAACACCATTGGATGCTGGCCGACTCAGTGGTCTGTCGGTTAAGTGCTCTGGCGCGAGACTGATAGGTCCTGGCTTCGAATCTCGCGGGTGCGTGGTCATGGATGCTCACTGCTGAGGAGTCCCATAATAGGACGAAACGGCCGTCCAGTGCTTCTAGGTTTTCGATGGTGGTCAAGCTTCAATTGGCCCATGATTTCAACTACAAAAAGAAACTCACTAAATGATATTTAAAAACATTGAAGTCTGTGCTATTCCTTAAAAAAAAGAAAACTATTCAACGGTACTTATTTTGCTAATACTCTTGAAGAAGTGACAAAAACCTGGTAAACTCTTAACAAAATTTTCATGTTTTAGTTTTGAGACTTCTCAGTTAATCAATAACTTCTAGGCTTCTAGATCATTTCATTGGTGAACACAATACTAATGTATGCACTTCTGAATAGGTATGTAATCATACAATTGTTTTCTGTTTCAAACAGTTGGCTATATTGTATAAATTGACTAGTCCCTAATTTTCTTGACTCTTATTATCACAGTTTTCTCTTTGAATCTGTCTGTGTATTCCTCCACAAACTCGGCTTAGCAAATTACAATGTTTAATTAATTGGTCTTTTAATTTTTGGGACAACAGACTTGTGTGAGTTATTAGTTAGAAGTAGTACGTTTTTGTAAAAATAAAACGGTGGCAAAGTGAACGTCAGACAGCTATAAATAATACTTGAACTGTTTCACTCGTTTAAGTTTTAAGATATCATACATCTCAAATTACCTAACTTATAACTGATTTTCAGATTTTAATTTGTTTGATTTCTACCTACTTTCAACTGAATGACAGTAGTAATAATATGGTTCTCGACTTCTGTTAGAAATGTAAATGCAGTTGTTACTTTCCGATTTCTTTTGTCGTGCAAGTGTGTTTCTTAAGTTACCCAAAAAAAAAATTAAATTAGGAGTGGTCTTAGAGGCGTGATAGCGCATTCGTGGATTCCAGGGACGACTGCTTTTGATCAGTCATACACCCCGTTTTTATAAGTTCTTGATGTTTCAGCTATACACTTTAAACACCTTATCTCTGATATAAATCCATATGGTAAGAAAGGGTGTGGTATTATTATGGTCGACCTTTTATGACCCTCTCCTTTTGTTGTCAGAGAAGGAAACATGTTTGTTGTCTTAAAGGAACAGTTTACTTCTATCACAACTCAGTACAATTAACAGTACCATTTCGCCCTCCAACCTTTAGTGCTGCTCTTAGTTCGATCTGCCTGTCATGTTAGGATCCAAAGGAGCAAGTATTTCATTATGTATAGCTTGACTGGGTCATCCTGATCATCAAGCCAGACCACCATATCCAGGTATCAGGTACAGTTGAAGCAATATGGTTTAATTATCTAGCATATTATATATATATATATATATATATATATATATATATATATCCCTAGGTTAACTAGTTTTCTCTTTCTTGCTATTCTCTTCGGCACTGTTACTTCACTTTAATTATCAGGTATTATAAAAGTAAACATACTATGTTCTTTTTTTGACAGTCATTACATAAGTATCATTTTTGAACATAAATACTTATCTATTGTAATTTTAAATTATAATAGAAAGAGATAGAGTTAAATAAGCGAGAGATGACGTGGGTACGAGGAATTTAACTGCAACATTATATATATATATATATATATATATATATATATATATATATATGCCAAGTAATTAAATGATTTATCATTGTCTCATTTTCATTTGTGTACATATGTACATATGTATATGTAGATAAAATGGTATGGCTTTTGGACTGATTGTCGCCTGTTCTTTCGTCCATAATTATACTTTAGTTAAATCATGTGATTTTACATGCTGTTTCACTATCCGGCAACCGTCTTTTACTTAGTGTTGCTTTTATTGTGCTATGCCATTTGTCTTATAGTTTACACTCCATTAAAGTGTGATTTAGCTATTGAAAATTGGCATTTGTTATATCTTATCTCTTTTTCTTATTCTAGTCTCTGTTTATCAATGATTTGTTTCAATTCGATCCACTCTATGATCATGTTTGCGTTCAAAACAAATATAAAGTTTTTCATGTCATTCATTCAATGCTTTTTTATTATGCCCGTACTCGTCTCTCCTGGAGCTTAGGTTGTCAGTTTTTTCTTTTGAAATAAATATAGACATCCTGACTGAAAGTCAATTATATTTATGTAGTATACTATTCATAATGTTACTGGATTTTCTTCTTGTAAAAGTATAGTACAGAGATAAGCTAATCAAAATCAAGAGTGCGACTTTTACACTTTTAAATGGATTTATTTATTTATTTGAACACATAAATATTGGTACAAAGTGTCACAGAATACATGAATTATGGTTTCACCATATACTGTTTCAAACGTTTTTTCCCACTACAGAGCATAAATGATAGTGTCACAATTTATGAAATGTTTAATTCTGTCTTTGTAGAATGTATATAACAGGCGAATCGACTCTATCCTGAAGTTGAGATAGTTGAGATTTGTAGTTCAAGTGGATGATTTAAGTAGATTTTTGTTCTGTGAGCTGGATGATTTGGTCGTGGAGTTTTCATTGTTCTTCTGAATAACATTATTAGCACAAAATTCAGGTAGAAGTAAAGTGTTCGAATTTTTTCCCATATGACTCACAGCTTTTCCTGTCGACCTCGATTTTGATTCTTTACTGTTGACGTTTAACTTACCGTTGTTTACCTCTTTATTTTGACTGTATCTTCCTTTGATCTGGTTCCTGGTTCCACATTTTCCCATATTTTTCTGACTGGTCGATAGGTTGGATTGATTTCAATGTGTTTGTTGACTGACCCGAGTGCCAAGCTTCTAAAAATACTCCGTTGTATTGTAAGGTTTAATAATAATGTAGCTACTGATTATAAGGAATATGTTGATAATTCTAAAGTAATCGGTTTATTAGAATCAAGTTGCGTAACCGTGATAAGGCAACAGTCGAAACAGTATGTGGTTTACATGACTTATGCTTATTGGTAACCGTTTTCTGTTTATCTTAGTAACGTTTGTTTTTTTCCTTATAGTCAATAAACAAAATAGTTTTCAATGTTTACAATAAAGTAATATTCGTTTTTATTCATTAATACAATGTTTATAATATCGAAATTGAATATTAAACACTTTGTAAAACTATCTTAAGAAATAAATGTAAATGTCACTTCTCAATCGTAAACAGCATTGTCTAATGACTTATTTTTCAACCAGTAAATTCATCAAGGTATACACATTGTTCCACCTACTTTGTTTTGGATGTTAGCTTTACGCAAGAATAAAATGAGACTTACTTACTTACGCCTGTTACCCCTCGTCGAGGAGCATAGGCCGCTCACCAGCATTCTCCATCCAACTCTGTCCTGGGCAATCCTTTCCAGTTGTTATTCATCCTTTTCATATCCGCTTCAATCCCCCGGCGTAATGTGTTCTTTGGCCTTTCTCTTTTCGGCTTCCATTCCGGATTCCAAGTTAGGGATTGCCTCGTGATGCAGTTTGGTGATTTCTTCAATGTATGTTCGATCCACTTTCAACGTCTTTTCCTAATTTCCTGTTGAGCTGGAACCTGCTGGTTTGTCCTCCCCCATAAAACGCTGTTGCTGATAGTATCTGGCCAGTGAATGTTGAGTATCTTGCGTAAACAACCGTTTATAAATACTTGTACCTTCTTGACGATGGATGTAGTAGTTCTCCATGTTTCAGCTCCTTACAGTAGAACTATCTTGTCGGTTAATCGGAATACTTTATCGTAATTGGTTACATTTGCAAATTTTCCTCTCGAAAAAACTTACCTTTCTATCACTTTTTTATATTTGATCTTTCGAGGTAGATGTTCTATGTTTCATAAATGATAGATAATTAATGAAGTATTGTTTAATTGTGTGTTGAAGAACTATCCCTCATTTGATAGATCATTTAATGGTTATTTACACGCATGGTTTATTCGTTACATAATCAATGTGTGCTTCATAGGCCTTTGCTTTCTAAATAAATTTTTATTGCAATTTAGGATCCGAATGCTACAACTAGTGTTATTTCTACACCGAGTAATAATACTTCAACATCAACAACAGTCAGTAATTCAAATAATGATCTACCAACTGCTACTTCTCCTGTTCGTTCACATTCTGTTGTAACAAATGCATTTCAAGGTCAGAACTCTTCCACAATTACTAGTTCGTCCATTGTACCTGGTTATGCTACATTGTAAGTAATATGAGAGGTATTATTATAAATCATCTCTTCTTTCAAGTGATTGTATATTTGCACATTTTATTGGTAGAGAATTTAAAATGCTCTTAACATGTATCTGGTTGCCTTGGTTTTTATTAATTCAATAAATACCCGCTGAGAAAGATCCTAAAAGCCTAAAAAGAAAGCTGAAAACTTTTTATCCCGTCATCATTGAATAGAAACTTTTCCTAAAACTGAAGGATTAAATGTCACAATTTATTTGTTTGATTACTCGTGGTTTTACTATATTTAGTATGTTTTCAGAAAAGTTTCTAGCACATCAAGGTCATCTGTAAACCACCTATGAATAATCCCGTTTTCCTGAACATAGATTAGAATATACTTTTTAATTATATTGCATGCCTTTTCTATGTTGTTTGAGTTCAAGTTTAGAAGTAAGCTGGAAATATAGGAAATGTCTAGGAAGTCATTAACGAGCCTACAATTAAGAAAATTTATCAAGTTTATTCACAGTTAAGATGTTTTCTCCATCTCACCTCATTTCAATGTTCTACAATGAAAGTGATGAATCGGAAAGCAGTGAAAATAAAACTCAGGAGTTTATTTATTTATCATAAACTTAAAACGCAAATTGGTGAGTAGCGCTCCGTTGGTCATGACGATATTGAACTTATAACTTCACACAAATCCAACAATTCAATTAGCCACACCACATTAACACAACTAAATGAGATTATTAAGGTAAATACCAGAGTAGTAAAAGTAATAATAATATGAGCAGCTGTCAAAACGTTTATACATAGAGGTTATTATATGGGGATTAAATATGAGTTCGTGGAATAAATGCAAACTTGGGATCTAAGGGGAATTTATTATTTATTTATTTAAACACATAAATATTGGTACAAGGAAGCACCAGATATATATGCGCCATACAAATCTCATTCGATTTGCTTGAGGGCAGTGATACTGCCCAGGTGCCCGAACTGAAGCAGGTGGTTTTCTTAGGGGGCCACACCCGGAGCCTTTGACCTGAATGTCTGATCCACAAAGCAGTGAAGCATCGTGAGGAGATTCAGTCCCATGGTAGCCGGTGATCAACGGTTGATTCGTACGCCATTTGTTCCTTCAGGATACTGGAGCCCATGTACACCATTGGTTTGGAATCAGGGTTTTTCAACTTCCCTAGGTGGACTCGCCGTGTCCACCAACCCGGTTATAGCACCGGACATTCGCTTTTCGTCTTCTCAATTTCGTAAACAACGGTAATGCCACGAGAAGGCAGTGAGTAGGACTTCCCTGGCAGAGAAAACAAAATATGAATGCACCTTTGGTATTGCGAATGGCTCTGAGCTGTATCACCCAAAATCCTAAGTCACGGATCAGGGTTGTCGCATGAACCGTAACCAAGTAATCTTCATCTATTTACATAGCTCAGACTTTGTGGATAAATACTACTTTTTAGTTTGACCGTCCCTTATTTTCTTCCAACCTACTTCTGTGGCAGACAATACCGCGTGGCGATATCTACAGGAATTGGCCATGTGTAAAACACTTCCCAATCATCTCAGTTGATGAAATTTTACTTCTTCATTGAATAATTTGCCATCTTTACCTGGTACTATACGTTTAACCGCAAAGTTGCTCTCTCTTTGGTCTCAAAATAGTCAATCATCCACAAAGTTTAATAGCAACATTTACAATTACTCTACCTGAGTGATTTGATTTCAACTCTTCAAATGACATAAATTTCAAGTGGATTTATAACACACTGTCTTCTGGTAGTGAAGACTTGTAATTCAAGTGCACACTTTTGATGGTATTGTTGCTTTCTGTGAATTGAATGATTCACTTGTTATCACATAATAGTAAAACGAATCAGATTAAAGAAATTTCGCAAATCTTGAGTCAAGGAAATTTTAAACACCAGAGAATTCATAAAATATTATCTCTACTAATCTGGAATCAGTAGGTACATCGATATAGATCCAATATATCAATTCATAATGAATAATAATACAGTCAATCATAATATATTCAGTGGTGGTCAATCGAATAAAACAGTCAACAAGAACACAAAAGTGTATCAAAACAACAATGCATGTGATGAAAATTAACTAATAAATTTATCTAATCGAAATTATATGTAGCGGTTGTAAAATAATATTGAAATCCCATTCCTACTCTAAATGTATACAACAATGTTGTTCAGAATGACAATAGAAATTTGTTAATTATATTAACGCTGACTAGTGTTGGAGACGGTCGGAAGAACGTTAGAGGCGGCCAAACCAAAAGGTAGCACCAATCCATAAAGTCACTAACTTCTAGTCTGAGTCATGTTGGTAGATGCAAACTGTTTGGTTGGGATCCGCGCGACTATCGTAACCAATGGTTGGAGATTCTGGGTGACTTGGTTCAGAAACGATCACATTGGTGTAGGTGTATACACTCTTTGTTTTCCCTTGAACCGTGTGGTTAAATCTACTTGATACCTTTCTTTTTACGAACTATTTCTTTCTTCCTGTATTATATCCTTATACGCAATCTTTCTTTCATATATTACTCTCATTGAAGTAACTACTTCTATGAATTTGGTGTTGATCTTGCTGTGCTAATGAGGTGTGGCAACTTAGACCAATGCATATACGTGCCTGGTCCTAAGTTGTAGCAGATTGACTAATAGTTATTCAGTCATTTCAGATAACATAATATCATTCAGATCTTATTGCTGATAATTGCTAGTTTTTGTACAAAATATCCTTCTTAAGATGTTAACAATTGTGTTATGCATATATTTTGTTTATTTAATTACTTATTTGTTTAAAATAAAAGTGTAAATTTTCATATTCACACAGTAGTAAGACATAGTAGTTAGACATTAACACCATCGGATGCCAACTCACTGATCTATCGGTTAAGTGCTCTGACGCGAGACTGGTAGGTCCTGGGTTCGAATCTCGCGAGGCGAGATCGGGGATGCGCACTGTTGAGAAGTCCCACAATTAAACGAAACGGCCGTCCAGTGCTTCCAGGTTTTCCTTGGTGGTTCAGCTTCAATTGACTCATAATTTCAACTATGAAAATCTATAGACTGCCAGTTTGTTATTTTTTTTAAATAAATAATAATAATAATTATTATTATTATTATTATACTATGTCCAGACGAAAAGTTTCCAGTCCAGCTTTGGATTCAACAGCAATGAATTCTCTATCCAACTCTTGTTCAACTAATAATTCGAATAGTGGGAGTACAACAGTAAATCGAGCTGATTTAGAAGCATTTAAACGTGAATTAATATCGGAATTTCGTCGAGAAGTTCAACAATTAAAAAATGACATAATCGAAGGTGATCTTAACTTTTCTTTTTTTTAATGATGTATAGGTTGAAGTTAATTGCTATTCGAGAGTTTGTATTTTTGATTGAATAATGTCTTTGAAAACAATAGCTAATTAACTTTTATTTATTATATGATAGAAATAATTTACCATTAAGTTTAATATCAAATTAGTGTACATAAAGATTCTCTAGTTATTTTTTCAAATATCATTCACTCGTCCCCATAGTTGATACTTATGATCACGCGATGTTTATGCGCCTTATCATTAGTGAGTTGTAGAGGTAATCATTGGAAAGACATATGGATCTAGTTTTTATGCTAGTTGGCTTTCGTTAGTACAGCTTACCGGCGATGATGCTCCTCGTGTGATTCGAAAGAGTACCATCCAGTTTCACAACGTGAAACGAGTTTCAACTAGGATGAAACCTGAGCCCTGATTATCCTACTGACTAATTCCAACTACCTAATATAACATGTCAACGTAGAGCGTATGCTATTGAATCATTTAGATTATTCACTACACTTTGCAAACTAATCAATAAAATCCGATTATTACAAAAGGACTAGACAAAAATAACATTAGTTACTGCTCAGAGATCGTTCAATGTAGAACTAATGCACCCAATTATTCTCTTTTCACTTTCGTTATCATTATAACTTTAAAGTTCTAGCCAAACGTTATATTCAGTAGGCTTGAACGATTGATAAATAACATCTCATTTTTGTAATAATTTATAAATTATGTCAGTTTCTTTTCTATTTTGCTGAAACTGTCGTTATCAACACTCTTTTCAATGAGTTTATAGGTATCAGTACCAAGGTTGAATTTGATAGTTCCCGAAAAATTGAGCATTGATTTATTTACTCTAAAGAAGTGACTTACAATATGTCATGAAACGTCAGAAATACAATTTTTCTGCTCATTGAGATATAACAAAAATATATTAACTCTTTTCAATGCTTTTATAAATTTCAATTTTTCTTTCAAAAAAAAAACAGTTCCGTCAAATGAACTTTAGAGATTAGTTAAATTTGACTATAGTTTTTCATCATGACCTAGTGTCAAACAATAAATTGTCGAAGAAAAAGAGCTACAAATCTAATGAACAACTCTTATTCAGTTCTTTTTCATGTCTTCTCATCAACAGTCGGCAACCTTAAATATGGTGTTTGTCAAACCTATCCATTTTCCCTTTTTTTTCATTTAATTACATGTGAATTTTTAGAAATTGATCTCCTATTAGAAGATTCACCTGTTGATTCAGGATACACAGATGACAGTTTTGTGTTTGACAAAGACTCTAAAAAAATTCCAGAGGATTCTAGTTGTCTTAACCAATAATTCTGCACTGGGGAGGTTGATGACTGATGATGAAAGTAATAATAATCTTGTACTGACTAATAATGTAATTCCTGGATTTTTAGTAAGAAGCCGTGACCAATTTACTTCCGACATATCGGGCTGAGTCGATCATCCACCACAGGTAATAGATGATAATCACGTAGTATCGCCAAATGGTTGAAATCAAACATAGATCGCGACTAACTCGGAAGCACGAAAGTCTTGAGTTTGATCTCTTTTTGGAAGTCATGGATGTGCACTGTTCAAAAAGCCTATACTGGAAGAAAATAACTGTCCAATGTTTCTTGATTTTTAATAATAGTCTAAATAAAACCAATGTGTAATGTAATCCATGAAAATTCCATATACATAATTGCCATTCATTTAGTTATTGGTTTCTACGTATTTCTATTCTCTTTTCCTTTTTCTTTTAGCTCTTCGTGCATCTTCTATTCGAAATTGTTGATTGAACTATAATGAAACGCTGGTTGACGATCATCTTCAATATATCCATTGCTTGCTTCTTTTTTTATTCTCTTCTCTACATTTCTACTCTCATCTCCGCATATTTTATCGAAGAATAAAGAATTTTATCCATACAAACAAACAATGCTCACTTAACATTCCATAATATTCATAATAAATAGTCTGTTGAATTTCTTCTTTGGTGTAAATCATCTTAATGTTCAGTTTATTTATATGGACACATTATTATTCTACCTATGATAAAACGTCATTTTGTCAATGATAGGCAAAGTTGAGCAGGTATTGTTGTTGCTATGATTTCTGGGCTATGTACATTTGTGTTTTTGTGTGTGTATGTGTCTGTGAGTATAATTCTTTAACTCACTTATAAACAAACGACGCACTGCCATTATTGCTACAATTTACTCTGATATATGCATTTTATTGTTACCTTATAGTTGTTGCTCTCTTTTTATTTCATTTCTTATTGTATAATGCAAAGTTGTGTAGCTTAACTTTTCACTCTGTTGATTCCATATGATAATGTGTATGTTTCCTATGATGATAATAACAATACTTGAAGACAGAAACTGTTAAAAAGTGGAATCATTTAAAAACCTGCTTTATATTTTGTTTGTTCTTTAATTGGGTTTTTGATTTCATTTAAGTCAATGTTTACATTTTACTCTCGATCTATTTGTCCATTTCTTTTCTTTTATAAGAGTTGCCTAAACTCATATATCTATCTATTGTTGTTTTAAAATCATTGTACACATTAATCTCTAATCCCATTTTATGTATTCTCATTCACTAGGGTTTACATCATTTGTAATGTAATATGTCTATGTATAAATTTGCACTTAATGTGTGTACGCATACTTCTGTAATGCTTCCGTCTGAATGAGATAACAGAATAAATATTTTTTGGCTGAGTTTTTCTTTCAGTTTGTTACTACTTCTCTCTTTTTTATTTATGATATTTCGATAGTTGGATAATAAAACAATAAACTGGTACATCTTATTATATTTACTTCCAAACTATAAGCATTTCATTTACCTCTTCTATCCTCTATCATCATCTGTAATGATTCTTATCTTTAAGGATTGTTGAAGACCGGTTTTTTTCAGATATGTAGTATACTATTAACTGCCACTATAGTCATGGTTATTATCATTATTCTATTGAATACTTTTTGGAAAACAAAACTAGCTTTATTACTGTTGTTACGGTTGTGTGTTTTTTTGTTGTTAAGAAGATGAGTACTTATTTCTAGGTTGTTCTTGCTTTTTTTCTGGTTAGCGATTTTTTAGCGAGTTGGTTTTCTACGGGATGGGGTCGCTAACCCCATGCCTAATCCTCCTCCTTTACTCGGGCTTGGGACCAGCAGTAGCCCCCGGAGGAGCTACAGGCGGAGTTAGGTTGTTCTTACTATATATCATAAATTATCAATTTAATCTATGATTTAGTATGTTTGTATGTGTATGTGAATTATTTATGTTAAAATCTTACTATAATAACATCATTATAATTACCATAGTTCATTATAGTATCCTTCGTTTTCACTCTTTTTTTTCTTTTTTGGTGAGTAGCTCCCGATTCTTTTCTTTCTACTTAATATCTTGCTTGTCATGTGTATATTATTATTTTCTGCAGAATCAAAACCATATTGCATTTCAATATAAAATTTCTGAATGAACTATAATTCTGATAAGATTTTTGTTTATCTCCCTTCAAATGTGTATAACTATTTGTTAGTTATCATTGGTACTATTTTATCATTATATATTCTACTGGTGGGTTTTCATTGTTTTTTTATTATATTGTTAACATCATATAGAATGATACTTCAACTTGTTGTTTTCTGTTTTGTTTTTCATTTGAATAAATGGCGTTGTAACAACAAAAAACATTGTGCTATTTAAAAGAACTTTAACTGATGAAGATTGAGAGAGGATGGCTAGTCAATGTATTGGTTTACAGTAAAACAAGTTTATATTATGCCCCCAAATACCCTGGTACGGCCGAGAGTAGGGAGAGTCCGCTCTCCCTCTCGAAATGCTCTCACATGACCACGCGTATATAGCCTCTGTCAGGGAAGTCCTACCCACTGCCTTCTCACATTGGCATTACAGTTGTTCACGAAATTGAGAGGACGAAAATCCAATGTACGGCGCTTTAATCGGGTAGGTAAACACGGCGAGTCCACCTAGGGGAGTTGGAAAACCCTGATTCCAAACCAATGGTGCATATGGGCTCCAGTATCCTGAGGGAACAAATGGCGTATGAATCAATCGTTGGTCACTGGATACTATGGAACTCCATCTCCTTACGTTGCTCCACTGCCTTGTGGATCAGACCTTTAGGTCAAAGGCTCGGGGTGTGGCCCCCTAAGGAAACCATCTGCTTTAGTTTGGGCGCCTGGGAAGTATCACATCCCTCACACAAATCGAACGAGATTTGTGAGGCGCATATATTTCTGGTGCCCCCTTGTACCAATATTTATGTGTTTAAATAAATAAAATATTATGATAACTCCTTCTTGAATCTAGGCTTCATAGATATATGTAGTTCCTCGATAAATACATAATAGTATTTCATAAATTCAATGGTCTATACTCCATCAAAGTATGGTTCGTGTTTTATTAATTATATCATGAATTTACCTGTTTTTATAGGTTTCATTAATTATTCAAACATAAAAATGTCCGATTTGCTTTTGTACAGTAGGAGAATAATTATAATTCTGGTTAATAAAAACGTAATCAACTTCGACATTTCACAACTTTCACACTACCTTATGAACTTCAGCCGGTATAAACCATGTAATGGTGTTCCATTTAACAGCTTTAGTGTTGTCTACACACATTTGTTCGACTCCACAGAGCGTAAATTTTATGAACCTACATTTGCATTTAACTGGACAAGGAGTGTAGTAACTTAGATACTGATCTGTTCATGCAGGTTTTTCCTTAGATAGAGTACTATAACCGTGGGAAATGATTCTTGAAAATTGAACACTTCAATTCACATAACACAGAAGAAGACAAAGATTAATGACATGTGGATCATATACACCCTCCAAAAATAGGACAGCTAGTTTAACCAAGTACGCCTATTTATGTACTGACATTATAATTATTAGGTAACAAATTTTAGCGGAACATCAGGAATTCATTTTATTTCGTTTGGTTCTAATCAGTTACTCATAACCTTTAATATTTGAAAATCACTATTACAAAATGAGTTCACATTGCGTACATGAAGAGATTTAGTTGGAAGTTGCTATGATCACGCAACGTAATATCTCAATTTCACTACCTTGGGGAACTTTAAGTAAATTTTGGGGCTTTCCTCAAAGTCGTAAGACATATGGTAGTCTTCTCCAAAATCTGGGGAATAACCCCAAAGTGTTATAAGATTCTGTGTGAATATTGGGAAAAACTCAAACATTTTGGGGTTTTTCTCCAGACAGAAAGTTTGGAGTTTTCGTGCCATTTACCCAAAGCTTTCTATAGCAGTTTTCCCAAAATTTACTCAAACCGGACAAAATTTTCCCTAAAATAGGTAGATTAGGTGTTACGTCCTTGATCTGTCCACCCACTTTCGTGTCGAGGATAACTTGTGGATTGGGACCTTGACGCGACAGGCTGACTGGGTTAACCTTGAGGGTAGTATGCGTGAGTTCGAAGTGGGGTAGAGCGAAGAAAACTATTCTATCACCTGATTGGCTCACAGACATGCACGAGAGAGAAGACAAGACAACTGGAACACAACTCACTTTATTCCAAATTCCGATCTGGTACACATTTTCAGAGTAGTGTGAAAAGGTACATGAATAAATAGATGACTAACCCGAACACAACGTACAATAATTAGGAAAATACAATTATATCCAAAACTGGGGAATTAGAGTAGAAAATAGAGTACAAAAGATTACGTCTAAATTACAATATCTTTGGAACAGCAAAGACTATGGCAATGAATCATTCATCAAACGAAAGCTTATGATCTGTAAAATAGACTAGGGACAAAAGTAAATGTTACAGTTTTACAAGCTTTGAATTAAACGAAATAATGTCCCCCAAAATAGCTTCCGTAGTTTGTCATGGCTTCTTGTTTCGCTATTCACATCATTAGGATATTAAGGACGTAAATAAGTTTAATAGACTAATTAAAATATTGCAAATATATATCTTTTATTTAAGAGCGCTATACAACGCTGATGATAACGAAAGACCAAACAGCTAGTAAACAAGGGCTTATGTAATAGGTAAACCCTGATAATAAGAACAAATAAAATCAGCCAGTTAACATAAGATTACTAATCTAGAAGACAGTCGAGATGAAAAGGTGTAATAATTCTATCTGATTTAAAGAATGTTCGTGCTCTCTTCATGAAAATAAAAGGAACTATAGAATACCACATGTTCGAAATACGTGAAACATATGAATAGATTTTACATTGAATTAATACAAAATTCATGCTGCATGTTATACTGATCGAAATCCATATCAAATTAATATGAAGAATACTACACTGCACAAATGTCATTTTGAAATTAAGTGAATGTTATGCCGAATACTTATCACGCTGAATTAAAACGTGGTCACAATGTTTCATCTCGTTTTTTTTTTAAATGGTTTACTATCGACTGATTTATTCATGGCCATGATAGATAAGTAGTTCAATCTTTACGAAAAAATTACTATGCCAAATTCAAGTTCTTCACTAGGATGGTTTCATATTTCTTTATGCATTTTTAATTTGTTATCGGTACAATTTATTTTATAGCTGTAAGCATATCCTGTTAAATTGTAAGAGGAATTATTGACACATAGCAACAATCAATATAAAAGATAGAGAACTGTTCAAAACAAAGTAACACTAGATAGCTGTTCAATTCTTGTTTGAAATTCATCTGCTACATAGATCAGCTGTCCATACAGGAATGAAACCAGTTACGGTTCTTAAGTTCAGCCGAAAACATGACACTTGTTTAGTCAACTATTCTATGAGTGAAATAATAACCACAACATACCATAAGTTGGCTGAAGTTGGTCACTGATGCCCATAATTACCTAAAATCACCATAGTCATGGAAGGACTTAAAGAAGCTAACCTCAATTCCACATACGGATATAATTGCATGCTTATTGTTGAATAGTCCTGAATCAGTATGAAACATCTGTGTCAATCCTTTATGATTTAAAGCAATTAGTCCCTTTGATAAATTTCGATAGTGTAATAAGAAGACGAAGATTATCAGAACTATATGATCAAATATTAGCGCAGTGCATTTCGAACAATCTGATCACACATATACTTCTTAAGAACATTTATATATAAAAATAAAGGGTCAACTAGACTGGAAATGGAGGGGGGTAAGAGTAGACAAGGATAATAATAATAATAATAATAGTTGAAAAATACTAAATCTCCACAAAAAACCCTTCTGATAATTAATAATAATAATAATGTGAAAACAATTTGAAACCTAATCACTCTGGATAATAAGCTAACGTTACCAGGGTAGGTTTAAGGTGAGAACAAACTGTTTTTGAATACACAAAGGGGGTTTGAATTTTCGTATGTCTAAGGCTTCAATAAACCTCAGTCTACGCCCTTTTACACTTTTGTACAACACCATAAAAGCCGATCAATCTTATGGTCTGTTTCGATTATGTGTTTGGCAATAGAGGATGATGGATGTTTAACCTCTACTCATTTGATTCTCTTTGCTTCTGCAACCATTTTGGTACATGTTCACATACCCTTTTCAGATCACGATTGCTCCTCCCTTGTATGTGAGAACATACACACATTTAAATTGTAAACTCAGTGAGATATCGCAATCGTTTTCATTTCCAGTCTAGTTGACCTTTTATTTTTATATATAAATGTTCTTAACAAGTACATATGTGATCAGATTGTTCGAAATGTATTACGCTAATATCTGATCACATAGTTCTGATAATCTTCATCTTCTTATTACACTATCGAAATCCTTTATCATTTTCCATAACTCTTGGATCAGTTTAAGTTAGACATTAACACCGTTGGATGCCAGCTCAGTGGTCTATCGGTTAAGGGCTTCGGCTCGAGACTGGCAGATCCTGGATTCGAATCTCGTGAGGGAGGGTTCGTGGATGCGCACTGCTGAGGAGTCCCATAATAGGACGAAATGGCCGTCCAGTGTTTCCGGGTTTTCCATGGTGGTCTAGCTTCAATTGACTCACGCTTTCTACTAATATCATCCCTCATGTAAAGTTATTTTCAAATCATTACCTATTTATCATATAGTTGATACATTAAATTTTTTTATTTGTTTAACGATTCACATGACATTCAGTTATATTTTGTCTAACTTTTCTACACTATTATACGTCCATTCCTTCATTATTTTCTTCTATTTTTACGGAAAACTCATTTAGTTAAAAATGAAAGACCATTTATTTCCCGGACCCATTTTTCTTATCTGATTATAACCGAATGGTAATTAGTAATTTTGAAAAAATGTCATTTTTCTCCCAAATATAAAACAAGTAATTGGATAAACATTTAAATAAGCTTAAATACCTTGTTGTTGGTTGGTTTGGTTCGAGAAAAAAAACTTGGGTTTAATTTCGTGATACTTTAAAGAATACGATAAAGTTAGTTACTAATTCATTATAAACTTCATTCTATCATTGTATGATAGGGTTGTTATATCCAATATCATTATGTTAAATGTCAAAGTTACTTTTTTGTGACTAATTTGTCAGACATTTTGATGAATAATTAAGCTAATGTCAGTTTCTTCTTTTTTCTAAAACTATAAATGTCATCTAAAATTGAAAAGGGTTGAGAAGAGTTCGTCGGTTAGTTATGTTATATCCTAGCGAAGACATGAGTATGGGTAACTTCAAGGACCTATTAATGG